TAGATATATTACAGTTTATTTTACATGATAAACTATACCTTTTATCAGTATGAAACTACTTATTTGATGTTTATTGCCTTGAATTCTGTTTTGTATTCTATTTTGTCATTACTTTAGGTTTATCTTCTAAATAATATGTAGCTGTTTTGTGTCTAATCCATGAGTCAGTCCTTTAGTAGGTGAATTTAATTCATTCGTATTTATTATTACCAGAATGTTTGGACTTATTCATGCTATCTTGTTTTGTGTTTTTCATTTGCCTTATTATTTATTTCCTTTCCCCATATTTTGTTAGGTCATTCAAGTTTTCTTTACCCTTTCTCCCCCAGTGGTTTGCAAGATGCGCACTGTTTCTCTTTATATTCATAGTTCACCCTTAATGTCCAGAGTTAATATCTATATTATTTCTTCTACACTACAAACGAGAACTATATTTTGCTTTTACTTCCATTTTAGTAATAAAATTTGATTTGCTTTTGTTTGTTTACAATAAATACTTACTTTTTATTGAATTTTACAAGTTTCTTGGCCTCCCTATTCTTCACTTGGATTATTTGTTTTGCTTTGTTTTTTTTGTAATTCTTTCAGAGAGGATTTGTGAAAAATTCCTGAAGTACTTGACTGTCTAAAAATGTCCTCACATTTGAATGATAATTTGTCTGGGTATAGAAAAACATACTCAAAATCATTTTCCTCTCAACTTGGAAGATAAATTGTTCACAGACATTTTTCTGTCATCTTTTTGCTCCCAAAGTTGCCAGTAAGAAGTTTGATGTGAGACTAATTTTATTTTATTTGTGGGACACATTTCATTGATTCTGTGGAGCATTTTTTTTTTTTTAATCATATTTTAACACTTCTGAAAGAGCTCCAATAAATGGGTTTTCTTGGGTATTTGTTCTTCTGTTGATGAAATTGGTTCCTCTTTCTCATTGAACTCATTTTTCCTAGGTACTTGGGGATGTTTGTTGTTTGTTCATCTCTGTTTTTGAGATTCCCAGATAGCCTGAATGTGAATAAGATGTCTGAATATTCTAGTCTACCTCCAGTGGATATGGGAGAGGAGCAGGGTATGCAGCCAAGTGGAAAGTCCTGGTATCTGGTCTTACTCTGACAGACTAGTAGTACACCTCTTGGGCACCATCCTTCTCTCTTTGTTCCTAATGCCTACAGTCACTCCTCCTGCCTAGAACACGTGTTTGCTTGGGCGTGCTTGGTGCTATTGTAGAGGTAGGAAGAATTAGTCCTCAGTTAATCCTCTAATGGTTGTCTTGGTATAGTCCTTCCTGTTTCCAGTCTGTGTCTTCTAGAAAGGAGCACCACAGAAGCTCCTTCCAGCTGGATTTTGGGATTCCAATTTTCTCTTTCAATTTGATCCCAACTGCCATCTACCTTTTTTTTCACATCTAGGGATTTGGGGGGAGAGAGGGTGACTGGATCATGTTTGGTGAGCTATTGATTCACTCGCCTTTGTGGGCCTT